TTCAGCAGTATATCAAATCATTTCAAAGTACTTCAACCCACTTCAACGCACTGCAAATAGTTTCGCAGTATCTAAACCCAGTTCAAACCACTACAAAGCACTACAAAACCATACAAGTGATTCAAACACATCAGACCATGATCTAAACTAAAAGACACTACTAAGCACTTAACCACGTCATAGTATCTAAACCACACAATCCACGTCAGAGCATACAAGCACTTCAAGCAACTACAAAGAAGTCCAGAGCACTCCAACCGATTCCGCGGCACCTCCAAGTGTTCCAAACAATCCAAACATTGCAAACAATCAAAAATCCCAAACAATCAAAAATCCCAAACAATCAAAAATCCCAAACAATCAAAAATCCCAAACAGTTCCAAACAGTCCCGGTCCCCCAGTCCCCCGTCCCTTCTAATGGCGCCGCCCCAGAAACCTCGCGGCCCCAGCCCCACCGGGCCTCCAGCGCCGCGCGCCCGCCCTGGCCCCGTCCGCGCGCGTTTCCCTGCCCCAGCCCTTTCAGTATCAGATTTCTCAATTCAAGTATGTACGGTACTTCGGGTCCTTGGAATACTACTATTCTCTAAAAACCCTTACGGATAAAAAGAGAGGAAAAAAAAGAGAAGAAAAAAAGAGAGGAAAAAACTCTCCCTGGACGGAAGGTTTTTCCCTTGCCACGTGAGGGATGACGACATGGCGATACCACGTGACAAGCCCTCCCCCCAGGCCCTGCCCCGGGCCCTGCTAGGCCCTGCTAGGCCCTGCTAGGCCCTGCTAGGCCCTGCTAGGCCCTATGCGCGCACCGCCAACGCTCAACTGCCCGCCCACCCCTCCTCCTCGCACCACCTCCCTCCTCCACCTTCTTCCTCCACCTTCTTCCTCCACGCCCACAACATCCCCCACACACACCCAGACCCCCCGCCGCCGCCGCCGCCATGGACCTCCTTCTCGCCGCCGCGCGCTGCGTGCCCTGCGCGCCCGTGTTCGGCCCGCCCGCCGTGGCACTCAACGGCCACACCTACTCCGTGCTCCGGCTCCTCGGCGAGGGCGGCTTTTCGTACGTCTACCTCGTGGCGCCGCGCGACGACCCGGCGCAGCGCTACGCGTTGAAGACGCTCCGCTGCCCGTACGGGCGCGACGACGCCACGTTCCAGGCCGCGGCGCTCGAGGTCCAGAACTACCTCCGCTTTGCCGCGGTGGGCTCGCCCCACATCATCCGCCCCGTTGCCGAGGCCGTGGTGGCCGAGCCCGGCGGCGCCTCCGCCTTCCACGTGTTGCTCCCCTACTACGAGCGCTCGTTGCAGGACGTGTTGGCCGCGCACGTGCTCGGCGGCTCGGCCATGGCGCCGCCGGACGTGGCCCGCGTGTTCGTGGGCATCTTGCGCGGCGTGCAGCGCATGCACCGCTACCGGCGGCCCGCGGGCGCCGTGCCCGAGCCGGCGCCGGGCACGGAGGCATCGCCCATGCTAGGCGTTGCCGCCGCCACGGCCGCCACGGAGTTGGCCGAGTTGGCCGAAGAGTGCCCGTACGCACACCGCGACCTCAAGCCCGCCAACGTGATGCTCGCGGCGGACGGGCGGCCCGTGTTGGCGGACTTGGGCTCGTGCCGCCCGGCCCGCGTGCACGTGGCGCTGCGCCAACAGGCGCTTGCGCTCGCGGACTACGCCCAGGAGCACTGCACGCTCGCGTACCGGGCGCCGGAGCTCTTGGACGTGGCGCTGGACGCGTGCATCAGCGAGGCCTCGGACGTGTGGTCGCTCGGCTGCGTGTTGTACGCGTGCTGCTTCGGGCTCCTGCCGTTCGAGCGCATGGAGCGCGACCAGGGCGCCAGCTTGCGCTTGGCCGTGTCGCAGGGCCGCTACGAGATCCCGCGCGACACGCGCGGCCTCCTGCCGCAGCTCTTGGCCGTGATCCGCCTGTGCTTGGTCGTGGACCCGGCCCGCCGCCCGTCCGTGGACGTGCTTCTCGAGCGCTGCTTGCTGCTCCCGGAGAGTGCGGCCGCCTCGGCTGCGGAGACGGTGGCTGGGGACGGGCCGGGCGGGGCTTGCTGAGATAGCCTGCTGAGATAGCTTGCTGACATCGCTTGCTGACATCGCTTGCTGACATAGCTTGCTGAGATAGTTTGCTGGAATGGCCTGCTGAGATAGCTTGCTGAGATAGCTTACTGAGATAGCTTGCTGACATAGTTTGCTGACATAGCTTGCTGAGTCTTCTTGCTGACATCGCTTGCTGACATAGCTTGCTGAAACAGCCTGCTGAGATAGCTTGCTGAGTCTTCTCGCTGAGTCTTCTCGCAACAGGCTCGCTGACTCGCTGACACGGCTCGCTGAGAAAGTCTTTGGCGCCCCGCATTGCCTGGGGCTGCGCCCGGTGGGCCTTCCTCGGCGTGCTGTCGGCACGTCAATGTTGCGAGTGCACAGCCGGTGTTATCAAATGGCATCCCTGTCCCCGAGACTCAATGGCCAGAGCTCATTCGGTACAAGCCTTCTTGCCCACTCCCCCAATATCCACCACGGCTAGATCAACAGGGCTACATTTCCGCGTCGGCTGCGTGGCCCGTGCTGTCTGTAAGCACAACGCCCGCGTCAGTCCCAACGCATCTCTTCCTCACAAGCCGTGTTTCTTCACTCTTCAGCTGCGATTCCACGCCCTGCCTATGCGCGAGAAAAAGCTGCCCAGCCTTGAAACATGAATCAGACTGCTGCCGTACTCAACGCCTTCGCGCCAGCACACATTCCCACTGCATACGAACCCTTGGCTTTCCAACATCTCCTTCTCAGAGCTCTGGCCCGTCGGGGCTCATGGAGTCGACCGGCTGATCTCAGATGCCCTCAGAGTTCGCCTCGATCAGGTTTCTACTGCTACGGTGCCTGCGTCATTCACACCCAGAATGTCTGCCTTCAAACCCGCATACTTACTGGCATTGGCTCCGGTCTCCCGGCACCCAAACGTCTACATCCCGGTCGCGTCGGAAAATGCCTTCACTCACTACAGGCTGCCACCAGAAATGGTACGGAGAGAGCAATTGGGGGTATCCCCGATCTACACACCGCCCCAGTGCGCTCAGCCTGATTTGGTATCTTGTGCACCAATCCAATGCCCCCGGCCTGCACACACGCTGGGACGTCCGCAGCACTAGACCAATATTATGGCGACATCGAATGGTGTCATCCAAGTGCTGGGGAATCGTCTTTTGCCAGAAACGTGTTTTCGACCGCCCCTCTAGCGCTCCATCAAGACACCCCGTCGCAGGCCGTCTGCTAAAATATGACCAAATTCCAGAGGGGAGAGCTCATGGAGGGCTGGAACGACTGCCCTATCCCGGTTCCCGCATCCAATAGCGGGGCCCCGTCTGCTTCGGCCACGCTGAAGGCAAGGAAACGCATGTATCGCTTGTCTGCTGTTGGCGGCCTGCAGAACTCCAGCGAGAGCTCGGTGGCCAGCAGCACACGGAGCCTGATGATGCCTCCCATCCCTTCCACTCTACCCCCACCAGCAACCACGGCCCCAAAAGCGGCAGCCCTTGATGCGCAGCCGGAAGAAACAAAAGAGCCCACGACGGACTTCTCGGCATGCGAAACCAAGCTACGAGGCTTGGTGGAGTCTGCCGAGATTCCGCTCAGGGAGAAAGAATTCTTCACCAAGCGACTCGTGGACGTGTTCCCGTCGCTTGCCTTGCCGCACAAGCAGTTCATCTCTCAAGTCGTCGATGGCATAGTGGCCAAGGAGCCCAGCGGGACACTCAAGACGCGGGTCTTGAACTACATGATGGTCAACAGTGGCGTCAGCGTCTGGGGCGTGCCCTTGAAGAAGCTCGTGGAGACGCTCAAGTAGAATTGGACTGTGTAGCACGCAATCAAGCACGCCCGTGGTTGTTGAGTATTCCTTTTTCAGATTGTAATTACTATACACACATAAACTTCGAAGAACTGCGAGCGTCCTCGCAGCCAGCGCCGCGTCTAGAGGCGGCGGCGCCGGCCCAATGAATACAGAGCCCAGGCCTGGAGTGGCACAGGGATTAGGCCAGACCATGGCGAGACGACGCAGAGCCGCAAGGTGCTTATGATACCAGAGAAGCTCCGCGAGAAGCGCACGCGGGACGCGCTTACACGCGCTTTCTCCTTCCGATTTGGGCCTGGAAACCCGTCTTGATGCTGGACACGGATCTGGTGGAGCAGCACGCCTTACAGCTCAAGAAATGCAATCTGTTGGCGGACTCCCTCTTCAACTCGGTGTTCATGGACTTGCAGGTCTTGCACGTGACGTACTCGATGATGTATCTTCTCAACACAGACTCCATCTGCTTGGGCTGGAACTTACCCTTCAACACCAAGCGCTTCTCTCCGTCAATGGACCCGGAGGTACCCAACTCGGCAAACAAAAACTGGATCAAGTGCTCCGGGTTCCGCTGCAACACAGTGGCGATGTCCTGCACGTTGGCGAAAAGCGTCTTCTTGGAGCCCTCTCTCTGGCACACTGGTGGCGGGATCTTGAACTTGGGCCCGCTCCTGTCGCCGGCCAACTCCGGGTTGTTCTGCTTCAAAATCGTGAAGAAACGCAGCAAGAGGTCCCCGTATGGGAGGCCCAACTTGGCCTGCGCCAGCGTCTCCTCGGTCTCCACAGACACGGTGCCCGCGGTTTCGTCGAGCCCGGCCTCCTCCAAAGCATGGTCGAATTCCGAAGCAGTGGCCAGTTTGGCGGACTTCTTTTTCTTTTTCTTCAACCCCAAGTCGCCTAGCGACTCGCTAATTTCGTCCACGGATAGCGCGGAGCCGTCGGCAGCAGACTCGTCGACGCCGTCGGCAGATTTCTTGGCCTTTTTCTTCTTTTTCAAGCCGGCAAACATGTCGTCCATGTCGGCGGGTGCGGGCGTGGAGGACGCGGCCGCGGCGGCGTCGTCGTCGGTCTTCTTCGACTTCTTTTTCTTTTTCAAGCTGGGGTCAAATCCCAAGTCACTCATTTCGGGGGTGTTTCCGGGGTGTTCTGTGTGTGTTTGGCGGAGCTGAAAGACGGCTTTCTTCTACTTTTTTTTCAGGCTAAAGATCGGCTACGCACTTTTTTTTTTGCTCCGAGGCTTTGGGCGGCGCACGCCCCGCACTGGGGCCTGAGACTGGGTGTGGACTATCTCTGGACATGGTCGGAAATTTGGAGCTCGGGGGGCTGCCCGGGTGTGCCCGGGTCTGTGCCTTGGTTTATGCTTGTAGTCTTTTTTGCTTGGATGGCTGAGCGTAAAGCTGGGAGATTTGTGTATGGTGCTTAGGGGCGAATGCTATGGGTAATTAATATGTGTGTTAATTATGGGTGATTCTATGGTGCCCACCGTGCGTGCTGGCGATGGGTAATTATTATGGGTATACTGTGGATACTAGTTCTGGATGATCACTATGGGCTTTCACTATAGGCACTATTTATGTGTATAAATATGTTTGTCTTTTTGGTGATTACTATGTGTGTTGATTGTGGGTGATTATAGTGTGGTGCTCACTATGCGTGCCGGCGATGGGTGATTCCGATGGTTGATCAGGGACAATTACTGTGTTGAATACGGGCACTTACTATTTATGATATTTTGCTTGTGATTATAATGCTTAATTATATGTCTTTATTCTGTCTTACTTGGAGTGATTGCTACGTAGTTTAAATACAGATGATGACGTCTTTTATATACCGGTGAAAACTGTGGTGGTCACTATAGCTTCTGTAGGTCATCACTATGTGCTGAATATGTGTATGTGATGTGTCTTAGGTCCACGTGACTACTATATCACTCAACTTAGATATTTTTTCTATGCATCAACTATGTTGCCATTGGGTCAAATACTACGTATGTTGATTATGGACGATTATGTATCTCACTCATGGGTGATCATTATGGGCTCTCACTATGGCACGCCTTTACGGGTACTCACTATGTCTTAATTTGGGATGATTGCCGTGTGGCTCTGAGAAATTAAGATTTGTTTCTCTCATTGGAACTATTTGTGTATCACCCATATTCCAGTATTAATTATGTGTTGATTATGGGAAATTCATGCAGTTATTAGTGCTCCCTATGATGCTCATTACGGTGCCCACTATCTCTATGGGTGCTCACTGCTTAAGTTAGAACAAGGGACACTAGAGCTGATCTTTGTCACTCTCGGGTGAAGGAAGACGAAAACAATGCATGCTTCTGGCTTGGCTTTGATACACACGTCCCATGGGACTCATCATATAATCGGCAGTCGGCTCCGCCCGTGTCCCAGAACATTTGCACCCACGGATCCAAATCATATATTTTGCCATATAAGCAGTAAAACCCAGGCACGTCTGTTTTTCGAAAAGTCCCAAAATCCCACATACTTCTCTATATCCATGATAATCGCATTTAAGCGGCCATATACTGAGAAATATATAAACCCGTACGGCTCCGCCTGCGACATTTTCTGTGATAAGGCTCATCCTAATTATGCCTGTTCCTGTGCAACTGATGACTCTTCCCCAATACTTATGACCAGCCCTTAGGACTATTTTCACGTTGAGGTAAAATTTCCTATTTCTCTCTGGAGCATGAAGTGGTTCCATAGGCTACGTGTTCCAAGCCTTGTGTTGAACCTGTGCCTCGGTTATCTTGGCCGACCGCACCCAATCATGATAGATGAAACCAGTGTGGACCTCAGCTAGCACCTCACAAATTCTTGTGAAAAAGCTGCCTATTGATAAAAGGAGTGTGCTTTACTTATGTGGTAGGGAAGTGACCTGGAAACGTGTCTCAGCTATATTGCTTCTAAACTCTCAGAAAAAGCGCTTCTTTCAGAGCTGAGAACACGTCACGCGTTGTTAGCTTTCTAAAAAATCGATTTTGAACTCAGGAGATATTGAAATGTTTATACCTGAAGACTGCGGCAACCTTCGGATACTGTGCATCCCAAACTACGGTTCCTGTTCAATACTAGCTCCTCGTATTTGGTATTTCTTCACTTTCTGGAGCCGCGGAATGTAATCATTCATATTCGTAATTACTTCCAAATGGTGTGACTTGCTGATCATACAGCAGCTCAAAGATCAAGTGTCTTTACTACACGCGAGTGTCTGCTCCTCTTTTAGGGAGAACCATCTTCTCGTAAGGACCTTATAAACAAAAGCCCAACATCACTGATCTCACTCACGGATACAAGACAGGGTGCTTCAAGGTAGACGCCCTCCATAAACACTATGAATTCAACGCAGCATCTAGGGTTTCGGTCAGATATTTTTATTTGCACGATTTGAAATCATGCTTTGGGCTCTCCCCAATTTATTTGTATTCCTTAGCCAAAAAGCTATGGATCTCATTCATGGTGCAATATGTCAAAATCACCCGATTCCAAATACCTCAAAGATTTTCCGTAACTTATTGAAACAGCCAGAAAAACCGAAATACTCTATTGAGGCAAAAGCTTCTGAATGCGAAAGTCAATTCAAATGCCAAAGCGATTGCTGAGATTCGTAGTTGTCTGGTCATTGTAGTTTCTTCCAGGCCAACTTCAAATCGTGCTCACAGATCTGATTTCCCGCGATGCAGCTACGTGTCACGTTTCTATACGTACATCTTCTTTCACACAGATGAGCTGTTTGCTTTAACATTTATGCAAATTTCACACTCCATAGCTCTGCGACATCCTGAAAGGTTTGACGATCCTGCTCATTAAAAGCGCATAATTCAGGATTCAGCTGACTTTTCTTGGTCCGAACCTCCAGACTTTTAAAGTACTGACCTCGTGAACGAGGTCATGCTCAGATTAATGGTAAAACCAAGAACAAATCGAAGATTTTTTGGAAGACTATTATAGCCTGTCTGTTCAAAATCATGCGGTGTTATTGGTCTTGAAATTTCAGGCCTTAGCGGCTACCCATCCGCTTGCAAAAAGTCTTTCACAGCCAAGGGATATAATTCGACAGCTGGGAGAACCTGAATTCATCAAGACACACAGCTGAGAGTCTGGCGTCGAACTAAAGATCAAACAAAAACTGGAGCCGCTTTTATTTTTAGCAAGCAAGTCAACTTGAAAATACTCCCTCACAGATCCACTGAATGGTTTCAACCATTGGGTGCAAATTTGGGCGCCGCCCTCATCCTTCAAGACCTATCTTCATCTCACCGTAGCCAGGAGTGACCTCTCCAAAGCTAGTCAAGTATCTATGTGACGCAAAAACCATGAAAAGCATCCCCGCCAGTTGGCACTCTCATAAGATCACTCTATAATCGTCATCATCAGTTAATTTGCCTGTAAAAGATAATTGGACATCACTGAATTTTCAGGACTAACTTATTTAACTGTACTGGGGCATAAAAAACCAGTGATGTGCTTCGCGAGAATCTTACTTCCTGGGATAAAGACTCATGAACTGATTTCTGCCTCAATTTCAGCTGCTCAAAGAGATTGGGGCATGGGAACACTGGAAGTATCAGGAAAGAGTGTTCGAAGTACGAGCCTGTATCAAAACCGGTTTTTTAAGGTATTTTTGTGTGAGGCAGCGGGGCAATACCTGAATTTTGTTTTCCTTTTCTTCAAACAACACGTTCTAGAAAGGTTTATACCACACTTTGCCCAACACTGAGGGTTTTAGTCTGATAGAATGTGTAGCTTTTTTGATATTATTACAAATCATTTTCTCTCTTCAATCTTTTAAAAATCCAGCCGATTGATTGTTAAATTATGGCCACTCTTGCTCATTGTGGCAACACAGTGGGCACGGCAGAAAACATGTTATAATTCATTCTATTGAACATGTAATTTGATGCAATTATGTACACCGGTCTCTCTTGTTTCAAGAACTTGTTGGGATTATCAACACCTTTCGCTTGAGTCATGACTCAAAGTTATAATATGCGCAGCAGACAAACTAAGAATACTTTAGAAGCCAAAGTCAAGTGTAAACTGCCGAAAGTCTTGGATTAACACAGTTGTTTCATTGTACTACTTGGTACAGTTTTAATGTAATAATCGCTGAATAGAATTTTCCTGCAAACATTCTAAAACTTCCTAACCCACCGGATGACTTCTTTGCTTTTATTTCGACCTAATTACATAAGAAAAAAATGAAAAAAAAAAACAGGAAATGCTAAATATTTTGCATGACCTATTGCCTCGCCTCAATCTTCTCAATTTGGTGGGTGTTATTTTACATTCTCATGCAAACTGGCAGAATAGACGAGAATTATATCGTCATTTTTCAAAGACTAATTCTCAAAAGATAATTTTATTAAAAATTTTTAAGGTCTGAAAAAATCGGGGACCTGAGCTGACTAGTAGCATTGTCGAACGACTTTGATACCTTGAAGCGACCCACGAGTACATCAAGCAACTGTAGTCATATATTGATACCTGCTATTTAGACGATAAAACATGAAATCCCTGTGTCAAATATAGATAATAGTTATGACATTTTGATTATTTGTTTTTAGAATACCATTGACTTGAACGATTATTTCAAGACGTCTAAGGTATGGAGGTAAAATCTTCAATACCGATGAAACCACAAAATAAATTCTCGTATATGAATTGGATTGCGACGTCAAAAACATTTTGAATAAGTTTAGCTATTACTTTTGTATATTGTATTAAATTTTTAGTTTTGATAAAGCTTGCTAATCTTTTCAATCATCACTTTTTAGTATGAATGTCACGTTTGTCCGATGACCAACACTTTTATCTAAAAAAATGTATTTATAAGGCTGGCTATGCGCCACCAATTTTCTCGACGAGCTAGATTGAGCAAAATTTGCTCACTAATTCGAGACGACCTTGGCCTCCAGAAAAAAATTGACGGTAAGTAAGTCAACAATGTAATTTGATAGGGTTTCAGGAAGACTTCTAAAATTAACTGAAGCAAAAGAACTGCTCAGAAGACACAATGCAGTCAATCTCGGACTAAATTTAAATATCTGCAGATATGCGTCAACTATAAATTAAAACAAGTGTCGCCTTAAGTTGCTTTTTGGATATCAAAGTATAGTCTCCCGAAATGAATGTTCTTGTCACCTTCTCTCTCTTCGCTTTTCCGATTGGATTATATGGATGACTCATTAAAAATTGCGTTCATTGGATGTTCTGGAGAAACAATTCAACTGTACACCACAGCTTCTGAATTCCAAGTAGATGAGACTATATCAGCAAATAATCTCTTCATGAGGATCGATTCCTCGGGGAAGCTTTTCATGTCTGAAGTGGCAGACAATGAACTTTCTGTGGCTCGTATAGGTAATTATGATCACTTGTTTTCCAAGGCCGGAGACTCATTTGTGGTCTGCGAAGACGATCTGATTCGCCAGAATACAAGATGTGCGGGACAACAGGAAGTCAAGCTTGTGTTTTATGGAGAAGTGGTATAACCTGATACAAAGTCATCGCAGGCGTTCCTAAAGCCCCTCAAGATGATCATTCATATTAAATATCTATTTGGTATAGTTTTAAGCTGGTATTAGTCTGTTCAAATGCCAGAATTGTTTTTCACAATATAGTATGTATACACTTGTCATCTGACGTGTAAGCACCTTTTAAAATAGAAAGAACAACAATCTTGACATTCCTGTTGCGAATAGCTGATGTATTTATTGTTATGTAGAGATGGTCGTGGAGTGCAAGTTTGATATTATCTCAGGCGAAAGTTTCTTTTCCTTTGCTCTTGAGTAGTACAGCGGGACGCCTATATCTTTGTCACAGCTTAACGTGCGTTTCGCAGTTAATGCAACAAGAATAAAACTGCGATAGCGATCACATGAGTGTTGCTCGTATCTCAGAAATATCAACAGCAGGAAACCTCGAGGCTTTTTCACTTTTGAGAAAAGCCACTGTAGAATCTTTGTAACTATTCCTTCACTATAGGGCACTCCTTTCTTGGTCAGACCCCGTAAATCCATTGGGGTTTTTGACCTATATACTCGAAATGTTTACTAGTATAAACATTCTGTGGGTTTCCAGCATGAATTGTGATTTTTCGTTGCTGAAATCATAGCTCAATAACGAGCACCTTTTCAATACATGATACGTGCAGAATCCGATGTCATAGGAAATTTTACACGGCCAGAAAATTTCCACAATTTCAGTAAGACAGGAAATTATTCTATCAAAAAGTAAATTCACTCATTTATGTAAGGCCCAAAAATTTCAGTTCTACACCGCAAACTACACGACCTCCACAGACGGAAATATAGTGCATGGAAAATGTCATTACGCCGAAAGGTGAAGGTAGAAAGGCACACGCGGTATTCTCTCTACAATATAAGAATTCCAGCGTAAGGGAAACAAACTTTCAAGTCTTAATGAAAGCCCAAAGTCATCTGAGCAGTGCGGATTCTGTTCCAGATCATTCACTCGAATTACTCCCATGCTAAATCCAAGCAGTTTGCAAATTTAGGCAGGCAATCATGATGAACCAATTTGACAGACTGATACCAGCCATACAATCCGGCGTCAGTTCGGCGTCGATAAACATTTAATGTAAAAATCAAATCTTAGTACTTGGAGATGTCAATGTAAACAGGGGATATATGCAAAAAGGTCAACAGTCAGGCAGCCCATGAATATTAAATGTCAAGACATACAAAGAGTCAAGAAATGTGGAAAGGTGACATACATACTTCCAGAAAAGAAAAGCAAGTTAATGTAGACAGTCAATGGATCAGACAATAGAAGACCGGCTGAAAGAGGCAGTCAATAAACACGAACAATGAAGCAGAATATCAATGAAGAGACTTTCAATTTGAAAGAGTACAAATACAGCAGTCTATACACACAGAGTGTCAATAAAAAAAAGAGGGACAATAAAACAGAGTGTCAATGAACAGAGTGTCAATGAACAGAGTGTCAATAAGCAGAGTGTCAACAAAATAGAGTGTCAGCAAAATAGAGCGTCAACAAACAGAAGATCAATAAACAGAAGATCAATAATCAGAATACGAATAGAATAGAGCGTCAATAAAGCAGAGCGTCAATACAGCCGAGGAACAATAGAACACAGTGCCAATAAAAGAGATTGTCAATAAGTTAGAGTGTCAATAAAACAGAGCATTAGAAAACAGAGCATTAGAAAACAGAGCATTAGAAAACAGAGCATTAGAAAACAGAGCATTAGAAAACAGAGCATTAGAAAACAGAGCATTTGAAAAACAGATTCGAGAACCAGAGCATCGATGAAATAGAGCGTCAATAAATAGTATGTCAATCAAACAGAGCGCCAATACAAGACCATCTATCAAACACAATGCAATATACAGAAACCAAACACGCACGTCTTCCAGGCCCAGCACCGCCATCGACTTGACAGGCCCCATACAAGCTCGGCACAGCACCAGCCCCAGACACTGTAAAGGCCGCGTGCTGGCTACGGCAGGCGCACGTGGGCATGTATATATGTGTTTTGTCTCGTCACGAGCAGGCAGAGTATTGCGGGCAGTCACGCTGTCTACACAGGCGTCCCAGGGCAAGCATCGGATAGGCCTAAAGCAGCAAGTTCTTGGTCAGCTTCTCGACGTCGGCGACCTTCTGGGCAGCTTCGAGCGCGGCCGCAGCCTGCCTGTCGATGTCGTGCGACTCGAGGCCCGGGGTGTAGGTGATTTTGGTATCTGGGCCCAGGTCGTCGACCTGAATGGTCTCCTCCGGGGCGAACTCGCGCAAGATCCAGTTTTCCACTGCGGTCTGGCCGTTCCTCTCTGCCTCGAAGAGCGCGTCGTGGCTGGCCAGGTTCTTCGCGTAGACGTCTGCGGCGTACTTTTGCACGAGCAACTTGACGATGTCCAAGTGGCCGTTGTACGCGGCCCAGTGGAGCGGCGTGTTGCCGGTGTCGTTCTTGGCGTTGGCCAAGTCCACGGCCTGGGCGTGGGGGACCAACGAGAGCAAGTATTGCACGACGGCAAGGTGCCCGTTGGCCGCGGCCATGTGCACGGGCGTGCTCAAGGTGATTTCGTCGCGGATGGACGGAAGAAACGAGCCGGGGATGATCTGCGAGAAGACCTCGCGGAGGTAGTCGAGATCGCCCTCTCTGGCGTCGTAGATGATGGCGTCCTGTTCTTCCTGGGAGAGCGAGGTGGCCATGGTGGAGCGGGGATCAACGGGCGGAGATTCGGTGGCGAGTCCGGGGGTAGCGGTGACTGTTTCGTGAATGATGATGACGAGTCCGGCGATGGGCTTCAACGACTGGCTCGATGACTAGATTCGGCGAGAAGCTTCAAGTGGATAAGGGACGCCTTCAGCTAGGAGTCTTTGTTCAGTAGATTCGCGAGTTCAGCAGTAGCGTCCAATTGGTTTAGGAGAAGCTTCAACTAGGATGGTAGCGGAGCTAGTATAGTAGTGAGACTAGGATGGTAGTGGAACTAGTATGGTAGTGGAACTAGTTCAGTCTTTTCGCTAGTTCAGTAGTCTTTGTTTCAAATAGCTCAATAATAACCTTCAACCAGCTCAGTAGCTTCACTAGTTTAGTAGATTCGACTAGTTCAATAATAACCTTCAACTAGTTCAGTAGATTCAACTAGTTCAGTAAATTCAACTAGTTCAGTAGTTTCAACTAGTTCAATAATAACCTTCAACCAGCTCAGTAGC